CCTAAAAACCTTTAATCTCGGCCGTTGATCATAAGATCAGCGGCCACAAACATCCCTTACCTAAAATAAACCAAACAACCACCCCCACCAAACCCTTTCATTTCCACCATTCTCCGCCCTGAAATTCCTCTCTTCTCTCAAACACTCTCAAGTTTAACCCTAATCGGACCTCACTGACACTCATCTATGGCTATCTATGATGATTTCTTACCACCCCCCAAGCCTCTAATGGCCTCCCTCACGTTGGTATTATCATCTCCAGGGTCCTCAAGGGACTAAAGTCAGTTGGCTTGCATAAATGGTCCCTTTCTCGCCTGTTTCAGGCTGTTCCAGTGTGATTTTGAGTAAGATCATCCTATATTGACTATGATCTATGGGTTTCTAAGCATGTTTCTTCATCTCTGTGTTGTTCTCCTCGAAACCCTAATTTCTTTCTTCTGAACCTCTTAGATCTGTACAGATCTGAGATGATTTGGACTTGTTTCATATGAGTTTTACAACAACCTTGACATTTTTTATAAGAATCGTATGATTTTAAAGTGATTTTCATCTTTTTCTATACTAGGGTTTCCGAAATTTTCTTTTACAAAATGTTCGATGATTTTTGAGTGTTTGGTCTCATGTTTCTCATGTGTTTTGACTGATTTTGTAAGTTTGCTACAACCTTAACTCACTTGTACTGAAAGCCCTAATTTTTTGACGTTCTTCATTTAGTTTCTAAGTACTAGTATATCGACTCTGTTCTTGCTTTGGTTCTTGTGATTTTTCTTTAGCCATTTGAATGCCTCGTGGTTTTCATACCCTAACATGCCTCTACTGAGATTCTTAATTCAACTTTTCACTAATTCTATATGTTTGTGTTCATCCTAACTACTCATGTTAAGACCTATATCTTTCTCCTTGAATCAGTGTCGATTTAACTATCTATTTTGATAAAGTTATGTGTCAAATCCTAACTATTCATTTCTTACCTTATTTTATATGTTACACTTGCTAACTCTTTCATTATTTTCTCTCTAACTGAGCCTTATTAGGGTTCTAACCTAATTTTTTCCGACTAAGTTCTATATTTCTAAATTTTACTTAGTTTATTTTTTATTTATGGGAACTGATATATATATATTCTTTCTAGAAATCAGTATTACTTTGAAATTCTGGCTGATTGATTACTCCGTTAACGATTGGTATGCATAGACTTTATTTGTTTTCTTGTTTATAACTTTAATTGGTTGTCTCTGCCTTAATTGCTTGCCCGTATAACATTGGGATTCTTACTGATTCTTTATTTGGTATGGTTTGGTCTTTTTGCCTTAATTAAACCCCTGTTGTTACCATTTGGCTAATTGCCCCTAATTAGAGGAGTATATTCTAAACTCCTTATATGATTGAATTCCGATTACCCTTAATTATTGATTTCTGATTCTTTTACCTTATTGACTCTACCCTCGAACTGCTATATAAGCACTCTCTTATTCTCACTTCAAAACAGAACATTAGTTCACAAAATGCACACTTACACTCTAAAGTTCTCTTTCTCTTCTGCTACTTGTGATACTCACTGATCTAGCCGGCTTAAAGGCAAGGCTAGATATTTGAACTTCATCTGCTTTATATTTTGCACCCTTTTCTTCAACTGGTATGTCTCTAGTTAAGTTTTGAAATCCAAACTCTATATGTTTCATTCCTGCACTAGTTCCTCAGTTATGAATTCAACTTGTATTCCTGCTTACTTCTTTGCTCAGCATGTCTAAACTCTGTCTTATTCAATGTATGCTTTATATTATGCACTCTTTCCTGCTTACTTCTTTACCTAGCATGTCTAAACTGTATGTTTAATCCTGTTCAAGATGTATTACAACTATGATCTATGTCTTAACTACTTACTGTCCATGATTAGCCTACTAAGTCTCTAAGACCCCAAGTGTTTTATGCATTTTCTTGACTATATGTTTCCTCTATATCCTATCCATGCACCCCAATATGGCTCTTATGTGCCCCAAAACCTTTATCCCCATGTGAGATCTGTTTGTTAAGTGTTTTCTAAATTTGGATGTTTTTTATGACTAATTGATTGTCTGCTGTTTTGGTACTATTCTCAAACTATCTTTTACCACCAAACTATTTCCTGTTTCTGAAAAACCTGTTTTACTTCTAAAGTCACCTCTGTACTACTTTCAAAACCTTTTCAAAACTATGTCAAGCACTCTCACTTTACTCTTAGAATACTAGGTTCTGCCCCTCTGATATGTGTACTACCTTGAGATCCTTGAGATCTCTCTGAACTCTGGCATGTCAGAGCTGGCCTTTCCACACTACACCTAAATCAGTTATTATTTGAGAAAAGATCTAGGTGTGAGCCCTGCCCGGGATCCTTAAGGTCCTTAGGGAACTCGGACACACCTAGACATGAAATTGGCTATGGAACTTTGGGCATTTGAGGCTATTGGAGGTTGGAAGTCATTTGGGCCTACTGCAGGCTCCCTATAGACTAACTTCTGTTCTATTTATGTAAATTTTTCATTTAATTTCTGGGGTCTATAATAATTATTGTAAGCAAACTGTGGGGTGATTAGTGAAAAGGGGAGGGTAGTTATATATATATTAGGTAAATTGGGTAGATACCATGTTTATAGGGTCTATATTGATTCGAATGTGTTTGTTATGTTTGCTTTACTTCCACACAATTAGAAAGCATGCCTATAGAATCTAAAATGGCTTCAATAATAGAGATCATGTCTATAGGATTAAAAATCAACTCTATAGAAATCATGCCTATAGGGTTAAAAAATCAACTCTATAGATACCATGCCTATAGGGGTTTTACTTTGGTTAAATCAATGTTGTTTATTTTACCTCATGCTTAATTAGAAGTCATGCTTATAAGACTTAAAACAGTTCAGTCAGTTCAATTCGTGTTTATATGTTTTGAAGTTGTTTACTTAACTAAATATGTCCGCTTCTTAAAAAGGTTTTCAAATGCTGCCTCAATTAATACCGCTAGAGAACATGTCTATAGGATCTCAAGTTTTCCGTTTAAAAATTATGCACTATTTTACTGCATTCCTAATCAATATAGATATCATGCTCTTAGGACATCACTATTATGCGCTTAGGCAAGCCTATAGGGCGATTAAAACCTTGCAACTATAAAAACTGCACTTTGTAAATTAAGACGACTCACATTTACAGGTCTAAAGTCAGTAGGCAAGCTAAATAGGTCTTTGACCTTAGTTAAATGATGTATAATCTATGTTGACCTAGATATCATGTTCTAGGGTTTTTCTCCTAAATACTTGGAACTGTTTTTTGAGACGTGCACTTATTTGTCTTGTTTGGAGGTAAATGTGAGCCTTTAATTGGTCCTTCTTTAAATGCAGTCCTAATTGTTTTTTTGATTGACGCCTAGACTTTTCTCCTTTATACACCTTAGGATAATCCAGACTACCTAAAACTAGAGGTCCTATATACCTTCAGGGCCATGAGGAAGGGACGAGTAGTGCACGCATAGGATATTTCAAGGTTACTAGAATGCTTTAGGCTATGACTAAGGGGAGGAAATTGGGTAGTAAGGATATGATGACTACGCGCTAATGTCACATGTAGCCACTCGTTTAGGAGTGTTTATCGGGCATTGTGTGGGGTGATCCTATAGGATAATCAACCTAGGACCCCTCTTTCACAATTCCTGTTGTTTAAATTTTACTTTCATCTATATATGTGCAACTTGTTCAAGTCTTTTTTCCTTTCTTGAGTCGTACATGTGCTTTAAAATGTCCTTACTTGCAAGTATGTGTTAAACATATTTATTTGTTAGAAGGACTAATTCACATAAGTATAAGTTCGATCGGGACCCACCATTGTGGACCATGAGGTGTGTCTAACACCTTCCCCTCGAGGTTATTTTGAGCCCTTACCCTAAATCTCTGGTAATGTAAACTAGTCTAAGAGTTAATCGCTCTAGATGCCCTAACGCACCATAATCTGTTAGGTGGTGACTCTTCAAATACCCAAATCCCAAAAGAAAATGAGTTATTACCCCCATGAACATCGGAACCCGGACTTTCTCCGAAAAGGGAAAAAAGGGGGCACGACACTAAGTAGCTATACCAACTACATTTCTTTGTAATAAATACATATGTAGTATGTTGGGATTCCCTCCTTCTATATAAAGGGGACCTTTACTATTTTTTGCACACATGATATTACACGTTATACAACATTCAATACAAGAACATTCTCTCCTCTCGAGCTTAAACACACTCCCTTAGTTTCACTATTTACATTTGTTGCTTACATTTATTGTGTTCTACTTATCATTGTTCAATTATTGCTCATTACTAATCATAAATAGCCTTCATCAAAGATCTCAATAATGTTATCCCTTCATCGGTTGTCCATAGCTCAGTATCGAGCTCAACCTCGAGGCCCCGTATAATCAGGCTCGAGGCCCCTACTCTAAGCCACTCGGTTTGTCTAAACACACTATTTTCAAGTTTTTACCTTATTTCCTAGTCTCAATCAGCATCTATTGCCTAACAACTAGCATAAAAATAGATCATGTATTTTTAGAACCACAAAATCAAATCTAATTGTTATTACTATTTTCAAGGTAAATAGTTTGGCGCCCACCGTGGGACTAAAAATAATAATTATTGTTTTCTTGTTGGTTTACTACATAACACAAGTTATCTTTTACACTTCTTCTTGTCCAAGAATATTTAGTTTCAGGTCAAAATGTCTAACCCAGTAAACGCACGTGAAAATGACGGTCTTGAGGACCATGGAGAGAACAGTATAGTTGTTCCAGGTACTGATGTACCACTACAAAACTCCGAGAGTATGCCAGAACCGACCCTGTAGGGTACTGTCTCACGCAACGCCTAACACGTTGACGTTAGTACCCACATTAACGGGAATACATACTAAGAAAGTCAACAAGAAACTCGGGAAAATCCCACCCGGGAAAAAAAAGAGGCAGACAAGAGAAATGGAGCTGGAAAATGTCAGCACATCGTTCACATGATCATTGGGGGGACCAATATCCCCAGGGACCCGTGATCAAACGGGTAAAAGTTTCTGCCGCAACGGAAGGGTCAATTCGGGGCCGCATACCCGAAGACATCCTTGCATTTAGCGAGGAAGATTTCGAGACCTCGACTCGACTGCATAACGATGCGCTGGTAATTTCTTTTCTCTTGAATAACACTCAAATTAAATGTGTACTTATGGATCTAGGTAGCTCGACCAACATAATCAGGTCGAAGGTGGTAGAGCATCTCGGACTGCTCGATCAGATTATACCTACCTCCCGAGTCCTCAAAGGCTTCAACATGGCCGGCGAAGCTACGAAGGGGGAGATCACCCTCCCGGTCAACGTGTCCGAGGTAGTTCAGGATGCCAAATTCCATGTCATCGACGATGACATAAGGTACAACGCATTGCTTAAGAGGTTATGGATACACAACATGAGGGTAGTATTGTCAACTCTGCATCAGATGATGAAATTTCCAGCGAAGGACGGTATAAAAACAGTATATGGTGAATAGCATGCGGCAAAAGATATGTTCGCGGTCCACTGGGAAATGTTAGATTCTATACACTCTACCTTGAAAGAGTCGGGAGACAAACATACCCCCAACGATGAAGAAGAAGATTTCCTCACTCGGTCTTATCGCGGTGGTCGTTCATGAAATGGGGGATGGATATCGTCAGACCTATACCAACTGCACCAGGTAAATCTAAATTTATTTTATTTATGACTGACTATTTCTCGAAATGGGTAGAAGCGCAGGCCTTCGAAAAGATAAGATAAAAAGAAGTCATTAACTTCATCTAGGACCACATTATGTGCAGATTCGGGATTCTTTCTGAGATAACATGTGATAACGGGAAGCAGTTCATCGAAAGCAAAGTAACACAGTTCCTCAAGGATCACAAAATCAAGAGAATCCTGTCGAAACCCTACCACCCGGGTGCAAACGGTCAGGACAAATCTACAAATAAGACCATCATTCAAAACTTAAAAAAGAAGTTGGAAAGCGCTAAGGGAAAGTGGAGAGAAATATTACCCGAAGTGCTATGGGTATACCGAACAACTCCAAAATCAAGCATAGGAGAAACACCTTTCTCTCTAGTATATGGTGCTGAGGATTTGATATCGGTGGAGGTTGGAGAACCAAGCGCAAGATTCCGACACACCATTGAGAGATCAAACAACGAGGCCATGACTGCGGCCCTCGAACTATTGGATGAAAAGCGAGAAGCTTCGCTGGTTTGAATGGCCGCCCAAAAACAAAGGATCGAAAGGTACTATAACAGGAGAACAAATCTCTGACATTTCGGAGTCAGTGACTTAGTCCTGAGGAAGGTCACCCTAAACACTCGAAACCCCAATGAAGGAAAACTAGGTCAAAACTGGGAGGGACCGTACCGTGTACTCGGAGTAATCGGCAAAGGGTCCTACAAGCTCGGTACCATAGAAGGCGAACAGCTTCCAAGCAATTGGAACATATTAATGCTCAAACACTACTACTGCTAAGGTGTCTGATGAAAGGCACCAAAAAATCCCCCGGCTTGAAGACCTTGGGTTTTAAAGCAAACGTTGCACTCTTTCCCTTTGATTGGATTTTATCACAAGAAGGGTTTTACCGGCAAGGTTTTTAATGAGACAACATCTATATGCTACCTAAGGAAATTTTCACAAGTGTTCAAGGCTTCTCTTTAGTCAACCTCGAACACTGGGGGGCATCCCCCCGAAAGATCACCTTCTCAAAGAAGTCAAGACAAGCCAAAAAGGGTCTCGGTAGGAAAATGATGTATCTGGCAAACAGTCGAATAAACCGTGTTTGCATAGAATAATTGAGTCCTTGTCGGAAAAAACATGTATACTTGTGCCAAGTAACCAAAGAATATTTTCCCCTCCATCGAAAAACTTTGCGCTTCAAAGAAGTCTGCTATTTTCTGCAAGAAACGGCTCTAGAGCCAGACAAAGAAGTCTGCTATTTTCTGCAAGAAACGACTCCAGAGCCGGAATATCCCCGAACACTCGGGGACTGACATCAAAAGATTGGAACCATATGGCCTCTAGGTCAGAAATTTCGAGCTCATAAGCCCTCAATGAGGCAACACCAAGTTTACGAAGAACGGCTCCAGAGCCAAAACATTATCCACGTATCGGGGACTGTCGTCGACTATCGTCTCTTTGAGTAATCAGTAACTTATCTATAAGACCTCAAGCAAGGCATGAACCATACTTGTACCAAGTAACTTATCCGTAAGACCTCAAGCAAGGCATGAACCATACTTGTACAAAGTAACTCATCGATAAGACCTCAAGTAAGGCATGTTAAAATTGTAAGACCTTACAAAAGGCATAATCTCGATCGTAAAGTTAAGGCTATATATATAAACTTATAAGACACCTAAATGGCATACCCTCGATATAGACACTGAAACTATTTCACTCTAGGATTGAAAGGCTACAGCCAAATACCATGACTACGGTCATAAGGCTCTATCAGCCAAACTCACGTGACTCGGGGATGTCCGACCGTCGCTACAAAATCATAAGCATTCAATTATTTGAAAAAACTTTGAAAAGAATCGGTTAATCAGGCTACCCTCGACATAAGCAAAAAGGCTTCGATCCTATCAGCTCCAAATGATAGGCTTCGAAACAATTCAGCCATCGAGCAAAACCTCCCGAGGTGCTCATTAATTGCTACATAACACTCACAATCGAGGTTCTTATCGGGCCGTCGAAGATCCGGACGAACATAAAACTTCAAAAAGTCTTTAGTCAGGGAAAAATAAAGCCTATATAAGAGGACGTACCGACCCAACATGTAAAAGCCACTGACGCAAGCTTACATTAGAGGTCGTACCGACTAGATGCATAAGAGCCTAAGAGCCAGCTTAAATTTTGAAAACTTAAGGGTCAATGAGCTCGAGTCGAAATTCAACTTAAAGACTGAGCCCGAAATAGTTAACTAAAAGCCTAAGGGCAAATACGTAAGAGCCACTGTCGCCAGCCTATACCAAGAGGTCATACCGACCTAATGCGTAAGATCCACTGATGCCACCTTAAATTAAAATCTTGCACCAACCCAACACGTAAGAGCCATTGTCGCCATCCTAAAAGAGCCTCACGACGGATTAGAAGTCATGCCAACCCAACAGTCGGCCCAAAAAATCTCAAGATCGATTTCTAAACCAAGGGCCAGTAAATCCGAGTTGAGAACCCGACTAGGGGACTGGGCCCTGAACGGTCAACGTTCGACCATCACGGATCGCTCAGCACTGGCGAAAACTCATGGGTCTAACCCGAGGTCCAAAATCTCGGACCAATTGTCAAAAAACATCGCAGATTATTCCTAAAAGGCAAAGGAAAAAAAAGAAGTGATGAAAAACGAAAGGCCTTCTATATATATATATTTCTCACAAGAGTACATTTACAAGTCCTATAAAGCCCTTACAAGGGAGAGATCAAATAAAACCCTAATCTACCATCGGGTCTATGCCTTTGACGGCTCCCTCGGAGGTTGTGCCCCGACCGTTCCGGCCACGGCCCAGGGTCTTCAATGGCCTCTTTCGCTACGGGGATTCCACCTTTATTCTCGTCATCTCCTGAGCTACTGCTCGACACACCTTCAGAAGAAAGCAGGGCAGCAGCTTTCTTCTCTAGGGTCTTTACCCTCTCAAGCTCGGCAAATAGATTAATGCCCCCTGCGTGCATATGCTTGAGAGTCCGCCTCTGAGATTCTAACCGAGCATGTTCCATGGCTCAAGTCAATTTCAGTTTCATCCCCTCAGGCACTCTCCTGGCTTGAACATCTATTACAACATCATTCTCTTTGTGCAAGGATATGAGCACCACAGCTTCAGCTTTGATCCTGGTTAGCGCAGCAATTAACTCAGTATGAAGACCTCTATACTTATTACTCTCTACCCTCTCATCATGAAGTTGATGCCCGACTAAGGACATCTTTCCTGGAGGGTATCCCTCTCGGAAGTTATCTCACTCACGTGCCGTTTGAGTTTGAGAATTTCAGAGTCTCTGGCTCAGAGCTCCTCCCTCATTAGGGCATCTTTATTCTCAAACTGCACAAATCAGATCAAAGGTGTCAAAACACTAAGATCTGATAAACAGTCAGACAAAAGCAAACGGAAACTACATAACCTGCTCAGCGAGATGCGTCTTCTCAAGCTCGTAGCGATTCACCTCAGCTTGAAACCAGGCGAAGGCCTGATTATAAAGCACCCTGGCTTGGAACCATAAAAGAGACAATCTAAAAAGACAAATATCAGGGTGACAAGCAGAATTTACAAAAATTACCTGCTCATAGAGTCTATCCATCTCACTGAAGATGAGTGAGGCATCGAGCTCGGGGATTTTCTCGGATGCAGCTAAAGGCCTTTCAAATGCATCTTTATTTCCAATGGGCACCCCCACATCGGAAGGTTCTTTATTCTAGGCATCCTGCGTTTCCTTAGGAGGTAAGGTCAGTCCCGGAGGAGAATCACTCAAGTCAATAACATCGATGGGATCAATCGGGCCGTTTCTTGTCTCGAAAGAGATTCAGAACTGGGTTCCTCTGGACTGCCTACCAAATGCGCATCAGCTCGGGGAATATTTTGGACGTCAATCGGCTTAGAGGCTTTACCCAATCCATCCTCGAAGGCCTCTTCAGCTCGAGGCTGGACAGCGACAGTACCAAGTTCCGACTTGGAAGCCATTGTCTTTGCGGTATTAGGGGCCATCAGGTTATCCCCTCCCTCGGATGCTATCGAGGAATTATCTTTCTCCTTACCTTCAGATCGGGGACTCCCCGCTACTTCTAGAGTTAAGGCTGCTGAATCAACCTTAGGTTCTTCCACTTTGGCCTTCTTGGATTTCGAAGGATCAGTCGACGATTCCCTTCGTCTTTTATTCTCTTCGTCGGGTCTTGGGGTATCCGCTTTGCCAAGCCATACTTCCCTCATCAGAGGGACCTCCCCCAGACATGCACAAATGCAAAATACGAACACGAGGAGTGAGGACGCTATCAGTACCAGTTCTGTTAAGAGATACAATTACAGCAGAAGTAAAGGCTCACCGTGGTCCTTGGCTTCCCATAGAGCCTGGGACGGATTGCGCCACACGAGCTCAACGTATGGGAAAATTGAATCCAGCTGATTGACCCATCCCGAGAGATCCTTAAACACATTGGGGTACACACGATGACTGCATCAGCTGAAGAAGTCAGTTCATAGGAAGATGTACCCAAAGAGAAGCAAGAGAATATTTAATTAACAAATCTACTTACGTTTCATGTTCTACTTTTCGGGGAATGACATCCTCTCCGCTGGAATCAGGTCCGAAGTCCTAACTCGGACAAAACGACTCATCCACCCTTCGTTGCTAACCTCGTCGGTGCAAGAAAAAAGGACTCTCGGGACCCGACAGTGGAGCTTTATTAGGCCCCCCCAGAAGAGTCAGGGGCTATACATTCTGATCATGTGGTCGAGAGTGAAGGACATCTTCTTAATCATGTTCGCATAATATTTG